ACTAGAAAGCTGAAATTTTAAGGGGATGTTCCCCGTCCTAGTAGGTATTAATGAGCCCAAACCCAGCTCTCGGGTGAGTGGTACCTGTGTACGGGCCCGCCAAAATTTTTCCCGGGTAAATTCATAACTCGGGCATTTGAGAAAGCTGAAATTTTAAGGGAATGTTCTCCGTCCAAGTAGGTATTAATGAGCTTAATCCCAGCTCCCGGGTAAACGTGGCACCCGCGTGCGGCCCGCCAAAGTTTTTCCCGGGTAAGTTCATAATTCGGGGATCTGAGATGCTAGAAGACTGTGATATTAAGAGGATGTTCCCCGTCCACATTAGTCTCAACGAGCTCAAACCCTGTCCTCGGTCGTGCGTATTACCTACGCGCGGGTTCACCAAAGTTTTTCTCGGGTATAGTTCATAGCTCGAGAACCTAAAAAGCTAAAAGACTGTAGTTTTAGGAAGATGTTCCCCGTCCAAGTAAGGCTCAACGAGTTCAAATCCAGACACCGGGTATGCGTGATAGCCACGTGGGGGCCCGTGAAAATTTTTTCGGGTAACTTTCTAGCTCGTGAACCTGAGAAGCTAGGGGACTGAAGTTTTAAGGGGGTGTTTCCTGACAATTCTGGCTGTCAATCTTAATTTGTCTAGCTAGAAGCATTTGCCGGAAAAACCAGTGCCGGTAGCGACAAACAAGAAGCGCATCTTCGCACGGGCAGCCTGTGTGTTGGCCAATTGTTGCATCTATGCAATGTAGAAAACGCATATTGACAAGGGTTTGTCTGTGTGTGTATGTTTGTCTGTATCGATTTTACATGTCGAGACCTACAAAAACTACAGGGCTGAAACTTTAGGAAATTAATTTACATGCATGTACGGGTCCCCATCCCCAAAACGGGCGCTCTTACCCACATCGTATTCACATACGGGCGGCCCACCAAATTTTTTTACGGGCAAGCTGCTAACTCGGGAACCAGAAAAGGTGGAAAGCTGAAATTTTAAGTAGATGTTCCCCGTCCATGCGGGTATTAATGAGCTAAAACTCAACCCTCGGGCATGCGTGGTACCCACTTTCGGACCCGCGAAAGTTTTTTACAGGTAAGTTAACTTGGGAACCTGAAAAGCTAGAAAACTGGAATTTTAAGGGGATGTTTTCCGTCCACTTAGGTACTGATGGGTTCAAAACCAACCTCCGGGTGTGCATGGTTCCTATGTACGGGCCCGTGAATTTTTTTTTCCGGGCAATTTGCTAATTCGGGGACCAGCAAAACTAGAAAGTTGGAGTTTTAAAGGGATGTTTCCTAATTGTTCTGGCGGCCAGTCTCAATTCTTTTAGTTAGAATTATCTGCTGGAAAAATCTGTGCCGTTAGCGACAAAACTATACGGGGAACTGTGCAAAAAACGCATCTTCGTATAAGCAGTTGGTGCGCTGGCAATTTATTTGTTTCATTTTCAGGACTATATTTTAGTTCATCGTTTGCACAAGTAGTTTTTGAAGAGTATATTCATAGAGTACTGCTGTTGAAGAATACTGCTGTTTGAAGAATGTTGCATTTTAGAAAAATCACTTTCTTTTCTAGAGCTTTAAGCACACTAGCTTTGATCAGCCGTTTCGTTGTAGAGTACTCCATGCGGTTGGTACAGCTGCCACCTTCATGGCTGCTATGACCGAAGCTACATTATCTGATAATCAGTCTTCTTCCAGGCAAATATTACAAATCTTTTTATGTGCCTTTTGTGGTTTGTACGGTCGTTTAACTTTTTCCGTGGCAGCCATTGTCTGCATAGGAGTCATACTATTTTTTTTTTTTTTTTGCCAGAGCGCACGGGTACGGGTTTTTCGCCTTGGCTAGCGAAGTCCGGTCATATATACGGTAGCAGTTCCAAAATGACATTTCTTCAGTGACTGCTTGAAGGACTAGTTTTGAATGTTAATTCTGTACAGATGAACAGCGAGTCGATGATGGATGCGAGTGATGCCAGCCCGGATGCGTCGCTCGACATTGATCAGCCGCCAACGTCCGTTATTTCTCCATACACCATCAGTGAGACTTTAAAGCGAATACGATGTGCTGTTGAAGAACTTCACTTGGTTTATGAACAAATCGATTGTAAAACAATACCGGCACCATTAAATGGTATTCTCTCAAAATCATTAATTTTGTGCGTAGTAAGAATGCCAAATCAGATTGAAATAAGGAGGGAAATTTTCGCTAGCTGACGAATTAGCGAG